AGAGAGAGAGAGAGAGAGAGAGAGACAGAGAGAGAGAGAGAAACAAACCCTGATCGAGGGTACCCTGCCTCTACGCGATTTCTCGGTTTCCTAACCTAGGTGAACTCAGTTGGAATAGGACGCACACTTTTTCAAATGGGATCAATCAGAGCCCCACGTGGCTGTCTTCTGTTTCCTGTAACCCATGGTGAAAAGTGGGTTCCCTATCAAAGTCTGCAACTTGTCGTGGAGGGTGTCAGCAAAGCCTACCCGCCTCCTTACCACCAGGTTGACGAAGGCCATTCCGGCAGCTCTGCGCCCAACCGTTTGCGCCTGCGTGGCAAAGAGCCACTAGGCTCGCTTTTGAACCGTGGGTGCTCGTTGCTGCGCAACCGCGAGGCCGCTGGGGGCGGAGCTGAGCAGGGCGGGACAAGAAAGAAGGTTAGTGGTTGGAGGGATGGAGTTTGGGCGTGGCTTGGGTGTGGTAAGGCTTCTAACCAGCTTTAGCAGACTGATGGGGTTGTGCAGCTTCATTCAGATCGATGGGGAATTTCATCTTTGAAGGATGTAGGCAAAAGGAAGAAGGCAGATGAATTATTCCTGCTTTTATCATGCCTCGCTAAACACCACTCACAGCTGCACTCCATGCTGCCATATAAAAGTGTGACAAGAGCCAAATTCTTCTGTAACTAACGGTTGAAGTGTGAACAAAAGCAGCAGCAACTTCATAAACACACTTGCTGCCAAATCTGACCCATGTGCTACAAAGAGAGTGGGGCTCTAGAAGCTTGTCCTCTGATCTTCATAGGAACACCTTTGCGAATGAGAACAGACAATCAGTCACGCATCAATGCGTATAAAAGAGATTAATACAAACAACTAAGGACTCATAAACGTAAACATCTCTGCCGAATCGGGGACTGACAACTAAAGGCACAGCATACGGTGACTTCAAAATGGTCTCTAGATAGTTCTGATGGGCATTAAAATGACATCCACTGTCCTAAGACACACTCAATCGTGGGGCCACATTAAAATTACCTGAAGGTTTTTTTTTTT